AGTTCCTGAACCAAAAACGACGATTCAAACTTAATTCACAGAGGTTTTAATTAGTGATCACTGTACCACTAGATGTTAAAAGATAAAACGGAGAGCTGTAATACGAATATACATTTCCATGACATATGATTACCTTCAGAAGCTCATATATGTAGTAACGTATATCATAATCAGTCAATGTTGGATAAAGTACTTTGAAATCCGTGCTGTTCACGTACTCAAAAATCAAGCTTGGTGTTTTTGAATGCTGATCTCTGACAATATCAAGAAGCTTGACAACATTTGGACCCCCACAGAGGTTTTGAAGTATTTTTATCTCTCTCTTGATCTGAAAAGGATCAACCGAATCTTCAAAATCTATGGCTGATATTATATCATTGAACATATAAAGTCTCAAATAAGAACTCCTAGCATTACAATAGGGCAATGTTCTGCGGCATTGTTGCACACTTTTTAGTCAACAGACAGAAGCCAGAGTAACTTTATATTCCATATTAGATTATATGCTCTTGCCACGCTATTGGAAAATTTACTATTAACATTCTCATAAAAGATATATTGTAAACAAATGGCCATCATAGTGTTTCCCATCTTAAACTGATAGAGACAACTGAAAAATACCTTCTTCTTCTTAACAGGCTTAAGGATCTTGATTATGCACCTCTCATTGTTATTAACATGTATTCCCTCAAATACTTCACTGTATTTTCCTCTTCCAACTTTCCGGACGACCTCATATTCATCTTGATCACTGGGGAAGAGAAAAAGAAATCCAGTAAAATATCAGAAAAAGAAGCTCACAATCGAACCAAAAGTTGAAAATAATAGTACAAGTCTAACAATAAAATCTCGAGAACTAATAACGAATGCTCCAGATTCATCCTCCATTTGATTGGAATATAAGTTGGTAAAGAAAACTTCTCCAAATTCAGATCCAGTTCAGTTTTACCAAGTATTGTATAAATTTGTCTCCAGTCTCGGTCTCAACCATCCCCAACTATGCTAGTAGAATATGGAAGAGAGAGAGAGAGAGAGAGAGAAAACCGCGCACATTCAGTTGTACCAACAATTGTAGGAAACCAATTTACTAACAATCATATATGTTATATAGATCATGCTTTGCTGAATACATAATGGGATATCATCCCATCAACCAAGAAAACTGAACAGAA